CCGTTGCTTCTAGGTTGGAGGCCATGGCTTCTAGGGATGGAGGCCATCGCTTCTAGGTTGGAAGCCATCGCTAGTAGGTTGGAGGCCGTTGCTTCTAGGTTGGAGGCCATCGCTTCTAGGCTGGAGGCCATTGCTTTTAGGTTGGAGGCCATCGCGAGTAGGTTGGAGACCATTGCTTCTAGGTTGGAGGCCATCGCTAGTAGGTGGGAGGCCCTCGATCTTAGGTTGGAGGCCATTGCTTCTAGGTCGGAGGCTATTGCTTCCAGGTATGAGGCCATCGCTTCTAGGTTGGAGGCCAGAGCTGGTAGGTTGGAGCCCGTTGGAGGTCATTGCTTCTAGGTTGGAGGCCCTTGCTAGTAGGTTGGAGACCATCGCTCTTAGGTTGGAGGCCATTGCTTCTAGTAGGTTGGAGGCCATTGCTTCCAGGTTGGAGGCCATCGCTTTAGGTGGAGGCCATCGCCATTAGGTTGCAGGCCAGCGGTTGTTCTTTCGCAGGATGAGCCGATCACCATTCTACCCCTGGGCCACAACGGCTCCAAGGCCTCAGAGGACAGGGCCTTTGTGTCGTTGAATGGAGGAAGGTCTACCGACAAACGCTGAGACACATCCCGAATCCATTCATGCGATTTCCTGTCCTGTGTTTGGTGCGTTTCGATTACGGCTACATAAAAGTTTCCGTATTACAAATGCTCAGCTCGTCAGGAGCTTGAAAGGCACTTGAGCCGTTGGCTCGCACGGCTCATGATGGAAGACCAGTGCTTCGATTGCGCAGTTGCCAAGGGCTGTTTGTTTTCTGTGTGAAATACCCTTATCACCTGGCGACCCCTTGATCAGTAGGGAGTCTCCTGGCTGACAGTATTCTTGATATTTTGCGTGCCAAGACTCTGTGTACCTTGATTTGCAGTCATTTGAAGACTTCTAGTTGGCAAGATCAAGGCATCATCTGGGAGAAATACGAGCTCAGCAGAGACGCCAAAGGTACGCGCGCGCACACATTCACACAAGGGACACGTGTCGTGATAGTTGGAGGAGTGATCCAGCTCATATTCCAAGAACATGTGCAGTTCGATAGTATACCCCCACGGCAAGCACCATCATTTTTATCCGTAAATTGAATTCAAGGAGTGGATATCCCCATGGTGAAAGAAATGAAGATGACAGCAACACAGACTGGGATAACGGTTTCTTCTCACCGTTCAGCTGAGCGATGGTAGGAACCAGGAAGCCTTTGAAGAGTGGAGGCGGCGCAAGGATAGTGAGGCTTGTTGCTGGGAGGAAGAAAGAAGTGGACTTCAACAACCAGGAGAACAAGAAGCTCTTTTTCCATTATTCCCCAAACAGGTTCCTGTTAGGGGTTCTCAATTCATTCTTAAGATGTGTCCCACCTTTGTGTCACTGGTGGTGTCCGCCCTTTTCCGCTGGCCATGTAGCATTTCTATTCATTTG